GTAAACAATAACAAAAGCCCGCAATGCATGACCCTGACACTAATCCTTTAAAAACATCACCGTCTCTGTCAGTGAGCAGACGTGTAATTTTTGCTCTCTGTATTTTGGAAAGACAAACTTTAGTTATTCTAGTTCAACGTGAGTTATGCCTTCGCCGTACCACATATGTTTTGCTTGGACAGGAGAGTATGAAGCATTAAAGAAATTATTGAGCGAAGATTTAAAGTTAACTGGAATTTGCATGGGACCAACCGGGCGGCGATAAGAAAGTATTCAGGACAAATGACACTTCGATCTCGTGGCGAAAGAGTAAAAGTTTACTGCATCTAGAGGGTACCGACGCCGGAAAAATCACACAGCTCCTCTGCACTAAAATCTGTGAAGATTTAAATGCCGTAAGTAAAACTAATAACATAATTATCTCAGATTGTTCATGCCAGACAGAGTCGGACATTTCGCAATCTTGTCTATGTAAATGTAAAGATATTTGCCATGATATTGAGGGTCTTAAATCTGGTCAAAAAGTTACTAGCGAAGCAATTCAGTCATTATCAAAAGCTGTTAGTCATATCCCCGAGACGTTTAGTCATTTTCAAGAGGATATGCACGTTAAAATAAATCGAGGAAATAAGTCTAAACCTACGAGGAAACGTTATTTACAAGAGTCACTTCAAGAATTTAATATGCAAGAATCATCCAACAACCATAATTCAATAGAAACAATATTACAAACATAAGACACTTTAAAGACAGAAAAAACACGAAGTATGTCACTGCAGAAACTGTATTCTGTGATATAGATGATATTGCTTTAAAGAAACTTGCAGCTTTTAGCAGTTGCCTAAGGGCCTGTTTATATCGAAACTGCATGGCTGGCCCGCTAAGTGAGATCTCGCTGTCTAGGTATTTTTATAGTAATAGCATAGTTGCCCGGGTTTCTTTTGTTTCAACAGGGTCGATTACTAACTAATCACCCGCTGTAGCGGGCGATTAGTTCTAATCGCCCGCTAGAGCGGGCGATTAGAACTAATCGCCCGTTACCAAGGGTCACACCTTTGTCTCCCTGACGACTACGCATTAGGCAAGTGCCTCACGCACATAATCGTGCAAGGAACAGCAACAGTTAGCTCAGAGCCGTCATTAGAGACCTTAAGATTGACGTTTACGGCAAACGTCAAACCGCTAGCGAAGTTTTTGATTTTACAACTCTATTATAATAGCTTTTACACCAGTTTTGAAATATGTTAAATTTATTAAACTTGTGCTCTTTAGCAATGATTTAAGAAAGCAAATTAACCACTAGTCATGCCATTCACCAAAGCAGTAAATTAAGATTTGGCGTTTCAAGTTGGCGTTTGGCGTATAGGTTTCATGCTTGAACTGCTACGAGGGCTTGTAGTCGTTAAAGCATGAAATTTATACGTCAAACGTCAACTGCAAACGCCAAATCTTAATTTACTGCTTTGGTGAATGGCATGACTCGTGGTTAATTTTCTTTCTTAAATCATTGCTAAAGAGCAGAAGTTTAATCAGTTTAACATAGTTCAAAACTGGTGTAAAAGCTACAATAATAGAGCTGTAAAATAAAAAACTTCGCTAGCGGTTTGACGTTTGCCGTAAACGTCAATCTTAAGGTCTCTAATAGACTATCATCCGATCCCTGAGTTGCCGCATCATTTAAATTACGCACGTGCAGTCTCCAATTTTATACTAATATATTTAGCATTTTTGTTGTGGTACGTTAAATGATAGATTGCGCATGCGTAACCGATTAAAGCGTAAAAAGTGCGCATGTGCAACAAGCTTTTACATCCCACAAGCAATGAAGCAAATGTTTTAGCTTAAATACGCTGATTGCAAGTAGGGCATGTTTGTCCATTTTTAAATGGGAGCGAAACTATGCTATTACAAACTAATAGCATGGCTTTTCGGGAGATTAGTGATTAAATGACCCCTTACCCTCGGCAGGTTTGCGGAATTCCCTCGGGCTTCGCCCTCGGGGATTCCGCAAACCTGCCTCGGGTTACGGGGCCATTTAATCACTAATCTCCCTCAAGCCATGCTATTACTTATAAATAGCAGTTACTTTCATCCTGCTCATCAGCACTACACTGATGAGGCCCGTAAGGCCGAAACGGTACCGTATATGTATATATATATATATATATATATATATATATATATATATATATATATATATATATATATATATATATATATACAGGGTGTATCAAAAAAAAGGAGACCTTTGGAAATCAAGCATATTGTTAAAATTTGAATGCCTTTTCAATTGCACATATGCTGAACCGTAGTGCGTAAAATATTGATGGGGTGCATATATTAGAAAAAAGGAGACCTTTAGAAATTGAAATAACGTTTAAACAAAAGATTGTCTGCTGCTGGGAACAATCTGCCATGCATACTATACGTAGATCGCATGTTACGCACTCGTGGGCTTAGCAAAGTGCTCCAGGATTCAAAAGGCATTCAAATTTTAACAATATGCTTGATTTCTAAAGGTCTCCTTTTTTTTGATACACCCTGTATATCCATAGTATGAAAATTGCAATTGGTATGAACATTGGATTTCCCTACTATATTTCCAACGAAGATCCATACTATTTCCATAGTATCCTCCTCAAAATTTTGAAAATGAGGTGTCGCAGTTGCCCCATGTGCTTCAATAACACGTGTGTACTCATCTATGTTGTTTAAGCATTATCTCCATTGCTTTTCAGTCTATGTGCTCCTTGTGTTTAAGAATTCTTGTATTCTTATTGAAAATACATAGTTGGTCGTTAGTACAGTGAAATTTACATCTGCGGCTGTGTTGATTTTTCTTGTTTCGTTTCCAGGCACTGCTCTCTTTTTGTTGATTGCACTGCAGTAATTGCATTGCTCTTAGCCAATCAGGATTGAGCAAGTTTTTTATCTTTGCTATTAGTTTCAATTAAAGTCAAAGTTGTTTATTGTATCCTTTTCCTTCAGCTAAGTGAAGACGCAGCCAAGAATGAGAATGAACTCAATGAATTGGAAGATGAGATTGAGAGATTACGTAATCGATTACAACAACCTTCAGAAAAATATCAAGACGAGGTGAATAAATTATCGGCCCTCACAAATCTTCTCGAAACTAGAATATTGAAGCCTTAGAAATTGCCCAAATTGTAGCTAGTTCAGGTGCACACGTAAATAGGCGCAAGTTGTTACATATCTTTCTCAAATTCATTAATAATTCATGATAATTCAGCCAATGATAATCACCTATTTGATCACAAGATGCCATTTGGATACTTGATGAAAGTCACTAGTGTTTTCATCAAATATCTTAATTACGCATGCAAAATTACTTGAATAGAATTCCCAATTACGTTATGCTTGGTTAAGAATTCTATTCAAATCAGCAAACGAAAACATTCTGTTACGTCTCAATTCATTTGAGAAGCCATATAAACAACTCGAGCTCGTGTCTCACCGGGATATCGAAACACTCGAAAACAATGTATGAAAACACTCGCGCTTCGCGCTCGTGTTCTCATACATTGTTTTCTCGTGTTTGGATATCCCGGTGAAACACTCGCTCTCGTTGTTCATATATTACGTAAAAAGTTGTAACACGGTTGTCAAGCCGATATCAGGATGTGTTCGCACTGTTTTTGTTCCCAGTTCTTTTGACAAGTCTGGAACAAGTTGTTATCACCTTGTTACATTAAGGTTGATGGAAAAAAACTTGGTACAATCATAGTTAATAGAATAGATAACTATATGGTTTGGAAACTCATTAGAATAACAATATAACTCATTATCTACGTTAGTCAACGTTTATTCATAAATATGGTCTTTCACCTTCACGTGTGTATGGTATTTTTGCCCAATCCACCAATAGCAATTTCCAATTTCCCTATTGTTCGAGTCACGGATAGGTAACTTTCCTAAGACATGGTTGGTTGGGCAAAAATACAATACACACGTGACGGTAACTAAACGACCAGATTTACGAATAAACGTTGACTAACATATAGATAATGGGTTATATTGTTATTCTAATGAGTTTCCAAACCATCTCTTCTGTTAACTATGGTACAAGTTGTTCCATGCAACAAGACTAACACAGGCTGTTCGTAACAAGTTGCTACGAGCTTGTTGTCGTCAACTTGTTACTTGTATAGAGGATATATCAGACATGCTGGAACAACTTTTTGCGAGTTCGTTTCGCCTCCTCAACCTTGTCAGAAGATGATAACAACTTGTTCCATACTTGTCAACACCTGGGAATAGGCAGTGCGAACATATCTTGTTCACAAGCTGTGAGATCTTTACGTGTATCACTGGGAAAAAAAGTGAATTCCATACTACGAAATTTACAATTGCACCACTAAATCCATAGTATATCCATCCTATTTCCATACTATACCATACTATGGAAATATACAACTATTATGGATAAGCAAAATCGATTCTATTTCCAATAAAGGTCCATACAATTTCCATTCTATGACCTTCTATGGATTTTCAAAATTTTTTCCAGTGTATATCTCAAACTCGTAAATATTTCATCAGTAAATTAGCCAACATGATAATACTGGACACCTGGTGAAGCGAGTACTTGGACTGGATCAAAATTAATTCACCTCACTGTGTAAATCACTATTTACGCATATGAGATGTCATTTCTAATCCTCCAATGGACCTTTCCCCTTATAACTAAAATTTCGATCTGGACAAAAATTTCATCACAGCTTGAAAGTGCATCGCAAAATTAGTAATATTCCAAAGTTTTGTTGCAAAATCTTGTAAAATGCGGATAATATAGCCTTGCGAAGTTTGCCGTTTTTCAGTCATTTTGTATTACAAACGGGAAATTGACATCCGATTCGGGTGTTGGGGCTGCAATTTCCCGTTTGTAATACAAAATGACTGAAAATTGCAAACTTCGCAAGGCTCTATTTTCCTCATGTTACAACATTTCGCAACGAAACTTTGGAATGTTACTAATTTTGTGATGCTCTTTCAAGCTGTGATGAAATATTTGTCTAGACTTGCCTAGATCAAAATTTTGGTTATAAGGGGAAAGGTCTATTCGGATTCGATTAGTTTTACAAGTCCTCGCATTGCGCAGACTTGAAATCTAGTCCAGTCCTCATGTAGTCGGATTTGAAATATTACATCTTTCATCATTGCCGCCGGAGTCCTATTCCTGCATTATGCAGTGTTTGGGTATAATTTACCTCAGTCACATGTAGAGAAGTGCTTCCAGTTTGACTCTTCCAAACACCGTCGATTTTCTCCGGGTACTTCACTTTCCTGTAGTGACAGTGGTCCTCTAGAGAAGCACAGTTTAAAACTGATAGTACTATCATGCAACATAAATAAAATTAGTTTAGTTCAGATTTCCTGCTGAAGTATCAACGTGGTTTCATTGTCATTTTTCTGAAGGTGGATCATGTGCGAGCTCTGGCAAAGAGACAGAAAGATCGTTTGGAGAAAGAGATCCAGGAACTACAAGCCGAACTGCAAGAACTTCAAGATAAACATTTTGATGAGGTGGGACAATTTAATTTTTTGGGATGCCATTTCGAATCCCGCTGGAGACAATGAATTTTTGGTCGTACTCTGCAGTTTCAGAATTATATGGAGCTACTATCATGGACAAGATGACTCGGACAAACACATTAAATACAAAGAGTGTTGCACAATCTCTAAAATATCCTCCAAAAATCTGTACTCCCTCCCCTAGTACAATGGTGGTGAACACTCGAGCCATGACTACAACTTTGTTGACATTTGAGACAGCAACATTGTACTAGGGAGGGGAGATGGATGCAATCATTTTGTAGATGATAGCTACCATGATATGTATTCAACTATGAAGAAACAGCGTCCGAGTGTTTTTTGTCCAGGATTGTAGTTTTCATATCTCTGAGCATGGTTCTGAAGTGTATGATACATTATACACATGACTTTTGTGTGTGTTGGTGTTATGTACTCAGGTGAATGTGATGTTTGTGATGTTACTCTGAGTGTGCATCCACACCTGGCAAGCTGAAAAGTTAGCTTGCCCACGGTGGAAATCAAACCCGCGATTTTGATTCCCGCCGTGGATTGTGGGTTCGATTTCCCCCGTGGTCAGGCAAACTTTTCAGCTTGCCCACAAACATCACATACATCATATTCACCTGAATACACAACACCAACACAGAAAAATATAGCACATTGAAGGAACTAGACTCAGTTCCGAAATATCACTAACTCGAACCGACTTGACCACGTAGCTCAGTTGGTAGAGCATTGGACTAGCTTCCCAAAGGTCGCGGGTTCGATTCCCACCGTGGCCAAGCAAATTTTTCAGCTAGCTGCCCGGTGTGAATGCACACTCAGAGTACAAACATATACACATATACCGTATCTGCATGCATGCAGTAAGTGAAATAATGTTTTCCTACCTTACTTTTAGTTACGAAAGAAAGATGAAGAGATCACGGAGTTGGAAGCAATTCTGTCAGAAAATGCTCGTGATGCTACGGTATGTACTAGTCCAGCGGAAAAGTAAAAAATCATGCACTTTGTGAAGAAAGCACCCAATTCACAGGAAGTGTAGACTTTAACATGATAATGAATCTTAGATATGGAGGCATCACCAAAATTGATGCTGACGGCTTAAAATTTAGGATTTCTTATATTCTCTTATTAAACTCTATTACTGTTTAAAGTTGTGAAATTGCAGGTTCACATATAGCAAAAATGACTTGCATGATTAGAAAGCTTACAAAAAACTACATATAAGACTTTTAAACGGCTGATTGATTTTCCAAGCGGTTTTCCAGTTATTGCTATTTAAAAACGTGATAAATAGGCAAAAATACCGCCAAAGTCGTGGACACTTGCCCTAAAACATATTTTCAACCGCTCATAACTCCAGAGGAGTTGGAAAATCAAAGTAACTGCTTAAATGTCTTATATGCAGTTTTTTGTAAGCTTTCTAATGACGCATGTCATTTTTGCTATATGTGAAGCTGCAATTTCACAAGTTTTAATTGTATAAGAGATTAATAAGAGAATATAAGAAATCCTAAATTTTAAGCCGTCAGCATCAATTTTGGTGATGCCTCCATATTTAAGATTCATTATCATGTTAAAGTCTACACTTCCTGTGAATTTGGTGCTTTCTTCACAAAGTGCATGATTTTCTCAAATATCTGACTGTGCATATCCGCTGGACTATACAGTCAAATGTTTTAAAAGACTGAGTGTGCCATCAAGTACAGTAAAATCTCGCATATAAGAAACTAGAATTTATTTAGACCCCATTTTAAATAAGAACCTGTCTGGGCTAGAATTTCAAAGCAGGTTCTTATTTTATCAAATAGAGTCAAATCTAAAAATTTATAAATCAAAGAAAATAAGCACTTCACAAAGTAATGAAAATGACCCAGAACTCTGGAAATGTCATCCAGATAAATAACATGTCTATTCCGTGAAAATACTACATGGCAATCTCAACTACTATAGTGACTGTATAAGCAATGTTTACCAGCATCATGGACTGATAATTTGTGCCTAATTTATACACCACATGCACCTACCGAAAGTGAGTCGCTTTTTTCTTAAGAAAATAAGAACCTATTTAAGAATCTAAATCTGTTTGTACCAGTGTGGGTGTGAAATTGCTGTGCTGAGTGGTTATATTACTATTACTACCTGAAATAAACAAGCAGAAACTCGACGTTTCGAGCGAAGGCCCTTCGTCAAGAGTTAGGAGTTAGATAAGAACCTGTTTAGCCCAATTTCCTGTTAAGCACCATGTACATCTAAAAATCTAGGTTCGTATCAGAGTTCGTATATGCGGGGTTTTACTGTAGATTTGTTTATAAATGCAAACATGAAATTTTATTACTTCACAGGATGAAGAAGAGAAGAACAAATTACGTCGAGATTTGGATGGCTTGAAACGTCTTCTATCCGACCGCGTGAAAGCCAACAAGGTAACATTTGCTCATCCCAACAAGGACAGTGTGAGCATAACTTTCTTTAGCATTGTCATATACAAGGGTGTGTGTCATGTTGATGTAGAAATTTCATATCCTGAGCCTAGCCACCTGTGGAATGGTTGATTTGGATATACACACAGTATAATTTATTGCTGAAGATGAATCAAATTTAAAGTCTGTAGTATAACTTTTTGTATGTGTAATATTTGGGTCATTCGAAGAAGGAATGTAATGTATCTTTATAGTAAAAAATCCCATCTTGATCAACTTTTTCACTGTCAAAGTTTCCGGATATGATGTCATTAGGTTTTCCTTTGTTTTTTTTGTACCAAAATTGCACCGAATGATATCATATCCAGAAACTTTGACAGTGAAAAAGTTCATCAAGATGAGGTTTTTTACTATAAAGATACATTACATTTCTTCTTGTAATGACCCAAATATTACACATACCAAAATTCATATTTGGGGTTAGTCGCTCTTTAAATGTCGGAATAACTTATAGAATATCAGTGTTGCTTGTGACATTCATCTGAACAGTGTGCCAGATTCCCATGAGTGTGCAATTTTGTCTCGTATATGTCTTCTATATGAAACACGAGGAAGCGTGTTACATCAGGATATCCATGCAACTATCGAGAAGTTTGTTGAAAACCAGTGACGACTTAACTTATGCAACTTATGCAATTTCTTTCTCCGATATCCAAAAAACGACACGGTGTAGCCTGCAAAAACAGTCATCTCACATCGAGCGGATGCGATAAATTTTTATTTCCTTTCTTGTTGGCTCATATATTAATGTATTTTAGGCCTGATCAAGCGAGGATGAGAGCTGATGAGCGTTGAGAAGAGAGAGTTTTCTCAACTCTCATGTCGCAGTAAATGAGAACGAGAGTTGAGAGTTGATGAGTGTGTACTGGATGCCTGGATATTACCTTTTAAACGAGCAAAAACTCTCGTCTTCTATCATAACAATTTGAACTAGCTCAAATGTGATGACAGTTGATGAAAGTTTGTGAGACTCGACGAGAGTTGGCGTTCAAATGCAGGATAGGAAAAAAGAATTTTCTTCCAGGAGCACAAACTGGAGACAACAATTTTTTGCACCAACGGAGTATTTTTGTGCTAAATCTGCATGTGCATAAACATATACGCCTGTATTGTAAAAGCTCACTCAAAGAGTGGAGGTTCAATCTGAGCTTCCCTTGAGTGTCAGTGCTGTTTTTGAATAGCTGAATGGTAAGTAGTTACATAGTACGACACTAACCCTCCAGCTATTCAAAAACAGCATTGACACTCAAAGAAAGCTCAGATTGAACTGCCACTCTTTGAGTGTCAGCGTGAGTGAGCTTTTAGAATACATGGCGATTGTGTTGTAGCTGACCATGGTTTTAAATTCGAAGAATAATGTCTGTTAACCATATGTTGCTGCGCCCATAGTGGGACAAGGGTGTTAAGCATGATTTTTTCTGTGTTGGTGTTTCCTTCAAATTTTCAATAGCAAATCTTCATTCAAACGAATTTCCTGCAGCTGTTTAACATTTCCTGCGAGCAGTGCTCGCGTGGTCGCCTATTTTTCCACCCCTGGTCAAATTTCATAATTACTTAATGTTCGTCCAATGGAATTTTCCAGCAGGTCAGAGCCAATTCACAGCATTCGAGGATCTGAATACCTGCAACCACCTTTTCGATCCAATTTTAAAAGAGAAACAAAGAGAAACAAACCAGATGCAAGTCTATAAACTCGTCAATTCTTGTCCTCGTTTTACAGGTGCTAAATGAATTTGAGCTCTTTAACTCCTCGAAACATCGCGGGTGTTTTTCTGAATGGTTTGCTCCTGTGAAAATATTGTCTGGATCTCTAGAGAGAACAGATCAGAACATAAAGAGCTATCAGCTAACCAGTGCAATTTTGATAATTTTACAGGAGGCCATTGAACAAGATAAAAAGATGGGCAGAGCTCAGCGAAAGATGGATGAAAGTCGAAGGAGGATCGAAGCTGATCTGAGAAATGCTGAAAATAAAGTATGTTCAATTTGAAGTGTAGGAGTGAATACACAGAATAGAGGGGGGGGGGGAGAGTGCCCTCCCAACCCTTTTAGAAATATAGGGGGTGTGCCCTCCCAACCCTTTTAGAAATCCGCTTATGGATCACTTGGCATTATAGTACAATGTGATGTCGACAATTTTTATTGTTTTATTAACTAACGTTTTTAGATTCAGTCTGTCGAGAATTTACTGAAGAATAAACAGCGAGAAGGTATGTAATCTATGCCGAGTAGTATTTTGTTATACAGTGAAATATACAATAAACACTATCAGAACGGTTTGACATGCATTGTTCCTGTGTCTGTTTCAGATCGAAATGTCGATGCTTTAAGTCACGAAGTAGACAACTTGAAAAGAGCGCTGGATGAGAGATCCCGTGAGCTGTCAAGATCACGGGAGACTGGTAAGGACAGTTAATAAAATTAGTAGAAAATTTCCAATTCACATTTTGGGATAACTCAAATTCCCAGTGCTTGGAAAAAGTAGGGAATGGACTACCAAGCATTTAAACGCACAGTTCAGCCTTTCGAATGATGGTTTTTAAGGCGCATTAGTGCATTACAACCCTTTTAATAGATGATTCCAGCTATACACTAAATTTTGATCCAGACAAGAAAGACGGAATCTATCTTAGTTTATAGCTTAAAAGAGCATATTAAAATTAGTAAAATTGCAAAGTTTGGTTGTGAAATGTTGTAAAATGGAGGAAAATATAGCCATACGAAATTTGCAAATTTTGTATTATTTTAATTTGTGTTACGCACAAATGCACGGGAAAATGTACCACCAAATGTGGTGCATTTTCCCTTGCGTGTAAATTCCGATTAGGTGTGTCAACAAAGAAAGCATATGCTACGTTTAAGCATTTATAATTTAACTTTATCATATTTATATATTTCAGATGACGTTACCCCAACACACATACGTCATCATATTTACAACCCCCGTAGTCATGGCGACCATACGTATCATCATTACCATGACACCAGTCTTCCTGTTGCTCACCATACCAGAGACTCGCCAACACTACAGGCTGTTCAAAGAGTTCCAGCAGTCGCTACCATGAATGAAGTACATCATCATCACTATGGAAACAATGCACCGATTCAATCGCCGGCTCATGTGAATGTGTCACCTGTACATCCTGACGTAATACGTCACCATCACTATGACAACGCTGTACCCCAGACACCTGTTGACGTGTCAGCGGCTACTACCATCAATCAAGTGCATCGTCATCATCACTATGGAAACGGTGATTTTACTATGCAGTTAAAAAAGAAGAGGGCAAGAAAGAAAGACTATTGCAACATTTCTGAACACGAGGATTTGGTAAGATATTCCATTATTGTTTCCTACTACAAACTTTAACTTCACAGGGTACGAAAATTCAAGATTCTTAGTCGTACCTGACTCGTACCAATCTCGTTCCCCGAGCCTGCGATCCTCGGGAAGGAACGCGAGGCTCTGGGATAATTTACATAAAGTGATATAGTACTGGCTTCTGAAAAGTATATTCAAACTACGAGTTAGGATAAGAAGCACAATTGCACATAAAAACAATCGACTCCTAAATTCCTTAGTGCCATCAGTCCAAATATGTTTCATGCCAAGGCATGTCAGACTAACGCATATACCAGCAAAATTACGGTGTTGAATACCTTGGGTTTGGAACGGTCATGTGGTACCGGCAAAAAAAGTGAGTACGCAGATAGTAATAGTTCCACATACCTACGTGGTACGTGGCTGAAAATAACCGTACCAGACCGTAATATTACCAGACCGTAATATCGACGTACCATGCGAACTATCGCACCCTGACTTCATTCAATATAAAAAGACCCTTATGGAAAGTATGGAGCTTCGTTTTCAGGATTGAGATACAGGCTTTAGAGCCTTTAGGATCGAGATACAAGCTTTAGAGGATTATATATAGCGACTATGTATGAGGGATGAAATAATATAACACAGTAAGTTATAGTTGGGCTCCCCGTGGTCTTTTGCACGATTTCTGCTTTCCATCGTGATTAGTTAAGTTTAAAAGGAACGACCGCGTACTACAATTGAAAACTCAACTAAGCTGACTTTATTTAAACTAGATAGCTTTATCAGTGCTAGGTAAGTCAGGAGTGTAGGTTATTCTTCCTCGAGGTTCAGAAGCCGCCTCCTCCGCAGGCCCTCGTTGCGTCATGGGAAGGTCACACACAATCTGGCGAGGGCCTGCGGAATCTTGTAAAAAAAATGGCGCCGGTTATAGAAAAGCGGCGTGAAACTTGTAAATTAAAATGGCGACTCTGAGGTGGAAGGAAGCATTTTTTTTACGATAAGGTTTGTTGTCCACCAACGTTGCACGAATAAAACTGCCTTCTTTAACGAAGCAGGTTCAAAACAACATTTATTCATTTTACAAGATTCCGCAGGCCCTCTCGAAATCGTGAGCTTTCCATAACACAACGAGGGCCTGCGGAGGAGGCATGTTCAGAAGCGTATTTTTTCTCAGGTTTGAAATCTCCTTGTTTAGGAGGACGATGTCGTGGCACTTGAAGGGAAGCTAGCTTCAACCAATAGTAAATTATCATCTCAAATGACAGAGGTATGTTACTATCCCTGTCCTGTAAGAGCGATCTCTTAGGCTACATTTAAACTTGTATACCGGATCGGTTTCCGTAGCGACGTGAAAAAAAACCACCTATCCGTACCTTTTAGGAACGCTATTTTCTGACGAATTATTGCAACGGAGAGATGTTGCTTCGGTCAGCTTCTGAAAGTTGTACATTTCGTATCGGATAAGGTGCTTTTTCACGCCGCTACGGAAAGCTATCTGGTATAGTTTAAATATAGCCTTAGTTATTGATCCAACTTATTGCTGGCCCAACTTATTGCTAGCCCAACTTATTGCTGGCCAAGTTATTGCTGGCCCAACTTATTGCTGACCCAACTTATTGCTGGCTCAACTTATTGCTGGCCCACTTATTGCTAGCCCAATTTATTGCTGGCCCAACTTATTGCAGACCCAACTTATTGCTGGCCAACTTATTGCTGACTCAACTTATTGCTGGCCAACTTATTGTGCCGGATGTAAAAGGTGCATGTGCTAAGACACTAAGTGCACCTACCCAGTGAGCTCTACGTATAACTGGAGCAAGAGTATTTTTTCAATCGAAGTCAAAACACAAAGTTTCTGCAAATTCCTTGCAGCTTCGTGTGAACCGCGCAGAAAACAATTGAAAGGGACTGGCACTGGACGTCACTTTCTGCCATCTTTGGCTACACTTTTTGGACGGAAGAGGTTATTTCGCTGGCCTCAGAGTGACAAAACGTAACAAAGCAACGGTTTTACTAACACTAACCCTATTCCAAACACTAACCTAACCCTACCCCCTAACCTAACCCTGATCCTAACCTAACCCTACTCCAAGTTTGTTTCTAAACCAATCTTGAAGAAAAATGTTTTGACGAAATGTCATTCTGAGGTCAGCGAAATAACTTCTTCCTTTTTGGACGTGAGTTCTCACTCCAGACATATATGGAGCTCACTGCCTCTACCCGTCTGCCACTGCGCCATAATTAGTCCAAAAATGCCAAACTTGTGTACGGATGTATTAATTAATGTTTGCCGTCATATACTATTTGTAGAACAAATTGCATACCTTGCGTTCTGATCTTCAAAACTTGGAACATACGGTAAGTTGTTTTGGGATGAATAGACTGTACGTATGTAATATGTCAAATCCGAATTTGAAGTCCGTGCCATTTGTCCGAGTCCGAGGCGAAGCCGAGGATCTGGATCAAAATGCGAGGACTTAAAATCTAGTCCAGTCCGAATACACCCTTTCGATAATTACGTTACAACTACACTGTTTTCAACTTAGGACCACCTTAAATGGAAAGGATTTCAAGTTTTTTCTCATGGGCTATGCACAGAGAAGCCGAACATCCTTCTTCAACACATCCGCGAAAAAAATATGGATTTTGACCAATAAGTATGGAAATAAGCATTAACGCGAATACGAGGCTCCAGGTCATGACCTGGGGCCTCGTTTTCGTGTTAAAGCTTATTTCCACATATATTGGTCAAAATAAAGAATTCTTTTTGATGCATGTGTTGAAGAAGGATGTTCTGCTTCTTTGTGCATAGCCCGTGAGAAAAAAACTTGAAATCCTTTCCATTTAAGGTGGTCCTAAGTTGAAAACAGTGTAGTTGTGACGTAATTATCGAAAGGGTGTATTGGAGGATTTTTTCGGTCTGTATGTACCTTTAGACCTAACCAGGGGCAGCTGCGAAAAATGAAACCGTAGGCCCTATGGCAGGAATCAAACCTGTGGGCCTGCGATTCCGCGGTGCTGCGCTTTGACCACTACTGAACTTTAAGCGCTCTTTATTTTTTAAGGTTTCAGATTCCATGAGACAGAGGACGCCTGGCGTTGTTGAATCTCATCTAGACGAAACGTTAGCGGTAAGTCCAATGCTTGTAAAACAATATGTTATCGACTTCCACATATTTGACTTTTGCTATACCGTTACCGCTACATCTCGTTGGCTTAATACGCATTTGGTTGGTTAATCGGCTAGATTAAGCGCATCTGATTGGTGAACTTCAAATCCTGCAGAACAGTGACAAAGCTGCCAAGATAAGTACTAGATAAAACATGAGCAGCCGATCTGTATCTGATATATGAAAATATAAATGACCCATCTTATGTCTTGAATTCATTGGCGAAGTAACTTTAAATTAAAATAAACATTGTCTTGTCTAAGCCGAGAAAATCAAAGCTGAAGTTTATGTAAATCAGGACAAATCTGTATCCGATTTACAAACATTGATTAAACATTAATTTCTTTTGTATTTTCCTCATGAATTATTAATGAATTTTTTAATATTAGATAGACTTCTGTACTCCTCAGCAACTGATGCGTTGTCAGCCCTGAAGTGGTTCAATTTAGAACGTCGCAGGACTTGCCATTGCTGCATTTATATTTACAATTGTGTTAACGATTTCGTGGAACATTCTTTGGACATTGCTAATATAGTAGTCAGATTCATAACACCTGAAATAAGGACATGCACTAACGCTATATACCTATAAGGTTAAACGCAACTTGGGAAAATAACGCACAAATTACTAAGCTATCAAAGACTAGAATAACCTTACCGACACAGAAACACGGGATGTTCCCACATTAGCGACTCTTAAGGGGGCTTTATTCTCTAAACTTTTAACTTAAGCTTATTTTAGAAGAACTTCGACACTTAGTATATGAAGAATGTCTGAGAGAACTTTAATCTCTAAACTTTTAACCTAGATTTACAGTCAAACTGGATGTTCTCTTGTAACCACCATTGCAGTTTTGTCCCACAATATTACAATTTTGATAGGCAGATTTGCAAGCGACGCGAACAAATTACAAGTTGATCATGAAATTCACAACACAAATTCTGATTGAACCAAGGAAGCCAGTAGTATAGTAGGTGGTTTTCGATCCGGATTTTTGAGGTGGTGTGAGGTGGTGGAGTGTGAGGTGGTGGAGTTTTGAGGTGGTGGGTGTCCACCACCTCATTTATAATTAATACTCGTCCAATTGAGGAGGAGTAATGACGTCACTCATTAGCATACGTCATAATTATATGCAATGACGTCACGCGGGCCTGTTCGGGCGAAATTGGGCGAAACTTGCTGACTACGCATTTTTTAGCGTTCCCCCACGTGTGTGATACAATAGGCTTATTATTGGCTTGCTCTGAATAGCTCGAGTCCCTCACAAGGTAGAATTGTTATCGAAATTAATATATAGCAGTTATAGCCGTATCTTTGCTAGGAATAGATAAATTTCCACGAGTATATTGAAGGACTTTTCGTATATTCCATATCGAGGAATCTATTCGTTACAAAAATCAAGACATATTTTAAACTAAACAGTTGCTAATCCCGGGTTGTCAACGTCGTTGTTAAGGTCAATATTTGTATGTTGTTCAACATTATTTAGTAATCCTCCTACATACATAATTATATACTGTTAAGATGATCATAAGAAAGCTTATCAAGAACTCATGGAGAAAAAACTTATAGAACAGTTTAACAAATAGTTTTAGTTGTAATATTTTTGACACTATCGTCTGTTATTTGTATCAATAAGCATGTTTTAAACTTTACAAATGTTGCGTTGTTATGGGTTGCTAGTCATTAGGAGGCATGTAGGTAATTAAGGGGATTAAGGCAGTACTAATTTACATAACTGAGTGTATCCCAATGGGTAGATAGGGATTATTTATAACGCAGGTTTATACCTTAAAATCAGGCGCGTGGCTCTGCGGGTACATGCATATATTGAAGTACAACATATTTGTACACGGATCTTTTCGCGCGGGCGGAAAGAGTGGGCTTTGCCGGCAAAAAATTACACAATATTTCAGTTTTTTAAATTTATTTCTTCAAAACGTTTTACAAAATTTAGTACGGTCTACTTCTGAGAGCGTAACGTCTAGGAGTTTTTGTTATTTTTAAAGAGTTTTCATATTCTTGTCTATCTTCTGGGGATAACCTTGCAACATCTTCATTCTTCATTGGAATATATTTCGGCCTCTCGCGAAGTAATCTTTGTTCGTAACCTTCTCGTTGTTCAGGGGTCATCATTGCCAAATCTTGGGGCCTCCAATCTGTAGAGTCTACCCAATTGTGGAAAAAGTTGCGCTTGAGTTTTGACCGTTCCTCTTCGGTTGGTGGTGGTGTAAGGAAATTAGGTTTAGGTGTAGCAGGCACTGGTGGTGCTATCTCGACTGATTCATTGGGTTGTGGCATCTCAGCAGGCACGAATGGAGTTGTCTGAACAGGAGCTTGAGTCGGAATATCCATCTTATTTTTGAATGTCAAAAACCGATTTAGTTGATCAGAGTATAATTTGCTTTTTTCCACTGCGCTAAGCTGTGGTGCATCCATGATTTCTTTCATTCTCTGTTCGGCATCATACATTGCGTTTGCAAGTGGTGGTTGACGATACGACTGTTTTTGTATAAACTTTGCAATCTCGCCGGGAAGTACGTTTGTCTTGAGTCGATCTTGGTCACTCGTTGTCGGCTTTAAATCCAACATCAAATATCCGTGAGGCCGGCTTGTAGCATCTTCATAACTCCTCATAAACTCCTGTACTTTGCCGGGATTTATTTGCCTTGCAAGTATAGAAATTTGTTGTTTATCTCTTGGTGACTTGAACAATACGATATAATGCGCGTTTAGACTAATATTTCTCATTTCTTTGCCCTGATGAAATATATTTTGGACAATGTAGATGACAGACAAATTTCGATGATGACTTCCTTTCGTAAAAAGATCGGAAATACGTTTATCTTTGCCAGATTGAGCCATAAGATCATCCAATACGACCAAATTCCGTTGCGATACGTCCAAGTAATCCGCATTGTCGATATCGTCGGGGATGCCTTCATTAAACTCGATTCCAGGCATTATCCTCATCATATCAAAATAGGACGGTTGCCATTGACCATAACACCAAATGATACGTTGAGGAGTAGGACTTATAGTCGTTTGAGCATTCTCCAAGAGAGATTTCAC